TGAGCTAGCCCCAGCTGCTGGCGGTGTTTAGGGAGCAGGTCAGTCATTGGGAAATGTTTCTCTCACTCTCTAGCTCTTGCACTCTGCCTTTCAAAAAAATAAAAACATGTTTTGCTCTTTCGCTTCCTCTACACACCTAACATCTTTCATAACCCTCATCTTCAAGGTCACCTCCAAAGGAGCATTTCCTGATCTTCTTTATATTGGGCCACTGTGGTAGCATAGCAAGTTAAGTCACCACTTGCAATGCCAGCACCCCATATAAGCATCCTGCTGCTCCACTTCCAAACAGCTCCCTGGGAAAGCAGCAGAAGAAGGCCCAAGTACTCGAGCCCCTGTCATTCAGGTGGCAGCTCCTGGCTTCTCCTTGCTCTAGGCCCAGCCGTTGCAGCCATTTGGGGAGTGAATGTGGTCCAGACATGCCAATATCTGGAGGCATTCTGCCTGTGTGCCATGGGAAGGTACACCTGGCATCTGTCATGTAGAACTAGGGATGCTGCTGAACCTAGGGTGCACAGAACAGCTCCCCCAAAACAAAGAACCGCCCTGTCCATAGTGCCCCAACACTGAGGCTGTGAAGCCTTGCCAGGGAAGAAGCAGGTGGGGGCAGGAGTGTAGGTGCCCCTGACCACAGGCACCAGGCAGGGGATGAGAACGAGTCAACTAGCGCAGGTGGAGGAGCGGGAAAAGTACCTGCTCCATCCTCAGGTTATAGTTTTTACAGTTCCTTCATAAATACCTCAGTTTAGTCCTTCAACCAGACATGGTTTGTTCCTATGTTTAACATGTGTGTCTTCCACGCTAACATAGAAAAGCTGCCCTTACATTCTATTCCCCCTTGAAAATTGGAACCCTCTTGGGCTGCACCTTCTGCCTTCCCTTTCTTGATAAGGGATATGGTACAAGAAATATGTCACTCTTCAACTAAAGCAACAGCCTTATCAGATGGCAAACAGCACCGATGCAGTCCCAGCTCTGGGGAAACCGCAGCCCAGTGCTCGGTGTCCTCATTTACAGAAGGGAGAGATTTCCACAGTGGCACTGTGCAAGCGTCAGCTCAGGGGTGCTGCAGGGTGCTCCGCACTGCCACCTCCATCCCAAATGCAGGGTCGTGGCCCTGCTCAGTGGCTCGGGTATCAGGATGTTTTAAAACTCCCAAGTGACTCCATAGAAGGCTCGATGGAGGAAGTCCCACTGATCTAGGAAGGCCTCCCATTTCACATACACACAAACTGAGACCAGAAAGGCTGCTTGCTGTGCTCAGACACCCAAGTAGTTTGCAAAATGCAGAGAACGTGAAAACTGTTCATCCCAGAGTATTTTCAAACACTGTGTCAGAGCACAGGACCATGAATCAACTTAATGGTTTATAAACAGCCTGGTGGAGCAACAACGAGTGTGGGGGGAGAAAATCCTAGCACACTGCACATTGCAGGGGTAAGTACTTGGTGCCATTCCTTTTATTTTGTTTTAAGATTTTATTATTTATTTTTATTGGAAAGGCAGATGTACAAAGAGGAGGAGAGACAGAGAGGAAGATCTTCCGTCCAATGATTCACTCCCCAAGTGTCGCAATGACCGGTGCTGTGCCGATCTGAAGCCAGGAGCCAGGAGCTCTTCCAGGTCTCCCACATGGGTGCAGGGTCCCAAGGCTTTGGGCCGTCCTCAACTGCTTTCCCAGGCCACAGGCAGGGAGCTGGATGGGAAGTGGAGCTGCCGAGATTAGAACCAGCGCCCATATGGGATCCCAGCGCATTCAAGGCGAGGACCTTAATCACAACACTATCACGCCAGGCCTCGCCATTCCTTTTCAAACCCATACACATATGCACTGGTTGGCCTCCCCCGTCTCTCTAAATCCATGCACCTCCCTCTCCCCCTCAGGAGGCTGGCCCTATAGTGTCCCACTATGTCCCTTGCCCAAGGGTTTCTGGTAGGTCTGACCAGTGTGAGGCACTAAGGAGAGGTCAGAGGGGAGGAGGGTCTGAGGTCACTCTGCGTGACTGGGCTTGCTCCACCAGCACAGCTCCCCCCAACAAAGTTCCCCTTTCCCACCCAAAGGTGCACCTTGGCTTTGCTGACGGTCCCCAAGAGCGTCACGCTCCTCTGTGAGCACTTTAAACAGGCTCATGCAGCTGAAAATAGTCCATTCACCACATCTGTTTTCCGCTAAAACACTAACATGCATAAATAGGTCAACACACACACACACAAGCACATACCTACACATCTGGGTCACATATTCAGAAATGTGACCAGTTTCATGGACACATTACTTACAGCGGGCTGTGACGGAAGTAAGTGTGAGGAACACTGTCAGGCTTCCGCTGACACTTTCACCTCCTCGGGCTGATACGCCATCTCCCAGAAGCCATGCTTGCTCAGCAGTGTCCCAAGGCCTGGGTTGCAGTGCCTGGGCTGCAGTTCCACTCTTGAGCCTAGCTTCCTACCACTGTGCATGCTGGGAAGCACGGGAAAGGGCTGCGGTGCTGTGCCCCACTCCCGTGGGAGACCTTACTAGGCGCCCAGTTCCAGACACGGGCTCGGCTTAGTCCTCGTAATCTTGGGAACAAACCAGAAGATGGGAGATTTCTCTCCCCTCACTCCCCTCCAGGGTTTTGAAATAAAATTTTAAAAACTAAAATTACTAAAAATAAAACATTTTAAGAATGCTTCTTTTATGTCTGCTACCATCAGGATGACATCAAATAAAGACAAATGCATGTTTCTCCAACAGTGCCCGGAGGGCCCATCTGGTAGGCACCACCTTCTGTCTCGGCGCTTGGCACACATGCAAGAGACCCCAATCAATTCCTAACTTGTAAGAATCCGTGCTTCTGTCACAGAACCTCACGTGCTACAAAATTTCTTCTTAAAGAAAAACGAAATCTTTTTTTCTGGCAATATAATACTTAATTGATATGCTTCATCTCTAACTTTTCAGGAACCATAGAAGATTGAAAGTCTTTCAATGTGGAAAGACATTGTCGTTTCTAAATGCCACTCCGAAGCGCCAGAGTGAGTCAGCCCAGGTCCTGCTCATCCTGGGAAGGCAAGAATAATCAGGCAGCTGTCAAAAACCACTAACTTTTCTCTGAAGGACCTGAGCTGCTTTTGGTTGTGTTTTTGGATGCTCTGTCCGAATGGATGACAGGGAGCAAATATGTATGACATCAGGATTGCAGAGTGCAGGCCCCAAGGGCACACCAAGCACCCCAAGTCCAGCCGCAAGGCACAGTCACCTCCCCGGGTGCCCTGGGTGCTCATGTCCTGCCGATGCTCAGGCCTTGGTCTGGCCATCCAACCTCCACAGGTGTGGCAACCAGCAAGCAGAATGGCCCCCACATGTTACACTGTGACTCCAGCAATGGCTGCAGAGGCCCTTCAAGCCCAGTGACAGTAACACAAAGCTGTATGAAGGTACACACGTTACCAGGTCTACAAGCCAGTAATACAAGACTACTCAATGCAAATACAATCATGTGAAAAGAAAATATCCCATCCCTCAAAAAAACAAAAACAGGCTACAGATATTACATCATTATTCTCCTGAGCCTGCCCGAGGAGTCCGTACTTTGTGGCAAAGCGGTCAATGTTTATATCAGCCTTTCAAAGAAAATGCCAACTCTATGGTCATGAGATTTCGAACCAGCATCGCCTAAGTGCGTACTTCTCTAACAGCAGCTAAGACCATCAAGTAAGCCTGTGGCTCTCAGCCAGCCCTCACGATGTAGCCCCCCTGGGTGTCCGCCTGGAGACAGTGGAGCCTTGGGAGTACCCCTCCAGCAGAGAAGGAACAGGCTCACAAAGAAATGGCTTGAAACTTGAGCCAAACTCAACCTCAGCGCTGGCTCCCGCCTGCCGCTCTGCCTCATCTACTGTACCATGCTGCCTCCCCAAGGTGAAGGCAACCTGCACACCGCTGCTCAGAAAAGCCGGGATGTTTCCTAGGCTGCAATCGACCACAGGAAAACAAGATAGCCTAATAACAATGTACACACACACACACACACAGAGCCACGACTGTGCCTTTTAGGACTGGTGGCTTCAAGCATTGGCTGGGATCTCAGGGGAAAACACAATTTGTTGTGTTCCATTCCTCCGCCTTTACTGAACCCCCAAACTCTAGGTACTTTGGGTCACCCTGGGAATCTGAAAAGCTAGAAAGTGATACATCAACAGTAACTAAGTTAACCCACTATGGCAGTAAATACACAACGGAGGCAGCTTTACAAAAATATACACAGAACAGCTGCCTTACAAAAACTCGGGCCCATTATACAAACTGCTCCAACTTGCCTTATCAGGAAGTCACAACGGGTAACAACGGCAACCTTAGGGTGGTCCCCCACCTTAGGAACGCTTCAAGTTTTGGGGGTTTTACCCCGGCACCCTATTTGGTATAATGCAGGGGGAGAGGTGTGGAACCTCCGCAGCCCAGCAGGGAGCATCAGGGCTCGGGCACCCCAAACAAAACAACCCCAAAAAGTGACGCGGGGGAAATGAATCGCAAACCCACTGCCACCAGCGGGGACTTTGGCCAACTAGGAAAAGGCACACTGCGATGTAACGGCAAGTTGAGCAACTTTGCAGGACAGGGGACCAGGAGCGGTGGCTCCGAGCTCCACCGAATCCCGGATCGCTCGCGCCCCAAACCAAAGCACCCGGCGGCCGGGCAGCCCAGGCACCGCAGGGCGGCCGCTCGTGCCGGTGGGGAAGGGGAGTAGCGGAAGCCGGGCCGGGCAGCTGTTGATCCCAGGGCCATCTTTCTGAAAAAAAAAAAAGGCCGGGACACTTCGCCTAGCGGGGCGGATAGAGCCGGAAGGGGAAGGGGAGAAGGAAGAAGAGGTAAGAAGGTCCCGGGAAAAAAGTCGCAGACGCCCGCCCGACCGCCGAGGATCGGCCTGTGGGGCTGCGGGCGGCGGAAGCCGGGGAGAAAAGGGGAGGGAGAAGGGGCCCGCGCCTCAAAGTTCCGCGTCCCGGCGCTCGGGGCTGCTCACCTAGCAGGAGCGTGGTCCACGTCCGGCCGCGCCCCGCGCGCCGCAGGCCCAGCGCCCCGCGCAGTCCGGCCGCCAAGCGCCCCCGGAGGCCGCCCCCGGCGGGCGGCGCGGCGGGCTCGGTGCGGGGCCCCTTCCTGCCCGCGGCGCCCTTGCGCGCGGGGGACGGGGGCGCGCGCTCGGGCCCGGGTTCCCCGGCGCCGAGGTCCGGGGCTCCCCTCAGCGGCGACTGCGAGGCGCGGGGCGGCTGGGGCGCCCTGGGAGCCGCCTCCCGGTGCTTGTTCCGCGCCTGTAGGACCATCTTGGCATAGTCGCGCCCGCTCCTGCGCGCGCCCGGACGGCGGCCGGGGAACAGTCGGGCTGGCGGGCCGGCCGGGCGCCGCTCACTCTGTGGCGGGCGGGCCGAGGGCGGGCCGTCCCCTCCGCGCGCGGGCGGGGAAGGCGGGGAAGAGCAGCGAGGCCGGGTGGCGGCTGCCTGACTGCCTGCCTGGCCTCGTTGGCTGACTGGCTGGCTGTGGCGGTGCGGCCGGGAGGCGGCGCCGGACTCGCCCGCCCGCCCGCCGCCGTGGCCGCCGCTCGGGTTGTCACGGCGACCGCGGAACGCCGGGGGGCGGGGGCGGGGACTCCCTCCGCGCCGGACGCGCGCGCCCAGCCGCCTAGCGCGCACGCGCAGTCCTCCCGCGCGGGCGGGGCCCCGACCTCTCGGTGGCGCCGCGCGACCCTCGCCTTGGCCGGGCGCACGCGTCGGGGCTCGGCCGGGGGCTTTTGGGGGGGGACGCTGGACGGCTTTCCCGAAGCGGGGTTGGCGGGGGCCGAAGGCGGCGCCCCCTCGGGGAAGGGCGGCGCTGACCGAAGTTTCGGAGCCGGGTAAGGGCTGCGCGTGGAGCGCGTGGACAGGCAGCGGCCCGGGAGGAGAACGCCGCCGCGCCGCCGCGCCGCCACAGAGGGGCGCCCCGGAACCCCCGTCGGCTCCACAAGAGGACGAGTCAAGTCCGGGGATGGGGTGGGGAGAGGTCTTGACACCCACTGCCACGCGCGGCCTCCCAACTTAAGAAGGCGGAGCGGAGTCGCCCTGGTGACCGGGCGCGAGGCGCTGTCTCCGGCAGCCGGAGTCCGTGGGGAGCCGGCCGGGAGCGAGCGAGGGCAGGAGGGCGCACCGGGGTGGGAGCCGGAGCGAGGGGCGCACCGGGCGCGGGCCCTGAACCCCGGAGCCTGGCAACCACCGTGTCCTGTTCGTCCCTCCTGAGCAGCAGCCAGCGGGAGAAACTTGCTGTGGTTAAGCAGGGGCGGCGTGCGGGAGCGGAGGGAAGCCGCCCTTCCCAGCTCCTCCCGCGCGAGCGCCGAGGCGGCGGTGTTTCTCTCCCTGGCTGTGGCCCCTGGACTTGCTCCAGGAGTCGTCTCTCGCACAGGCCCCGTCTAATGAACCAGAGCATCTGGGTCTGCTCATCCCCGTTGTAGCTCACGTGACTGGCTGCTCGCTGTGTGTCTCAGCCCAGTGAGTTCATTAGCACTGCCGTTCATTCACATACTAGGCTATTTTTAAGGGATTGCAGGTTGTTAGGAAAGGTGTTTGCCTAGCTAATTAAAATCCCTCTTAGTATATTTTTTTGTGTGCAGATGGGTCTGTGCAGCCCTCCTACGGAGACCGAGTTTGCCCAGCTTCTGGCCGCAGCCCTTGCAAACATCTGAGGAGTGAACCAACAAATGAGATACCTTTATAGTTTAAAATATATATATATTTTTGAATTCTGTGTCTATACATACAACAATCTGCTGACTATGCAAGGAAGATGGGTTAGCATTTAGACTGCGGGTTGCTTGTCTTCTCTGTGTGCCAGGGGCCCCGGATTCAGGAACTGCTTCCCCGCAGGCCCTACCGTTTTACCAGACAGAGTGCTTGTTGGTTAATCTGTAAGCAGGAAGGTGCGAGAAGTAGCATTATCCAGCAGCCATGCATAACACTGTCTTCTTGGTGCACTTGAGGGTCACTTCACGGTAGCCTTCTGTCTCATCCCGGGGTCTCAGATAAGGCAGGGAGTCTTTGCTGTCACCTCCCACTTTCCCTCAGAGCCAAGGAGCCAGGGGAGCAGAGGGCAGCCCTGTGATACTCAGCCCAGCCTCACTGCACAGACTTCCGGCTCCTCAGCTGCGTGTGCGGTGGGTGCCTCCCCGTGGCCCCTGCTTCCCACAGGTGCTTTGTCAGTGCTCCGTCCCAGCCGGCTAAGAGAGCAGGTCCCCAAGAGGAGGACGCTTGCCCCAGGGAGGGCAGAGGGGGTAGACTCCAGCAACAGTCACCTCAGACTATGTGCCCAATTTCCTTTCCACAAGATCACTAGCACAAGGAATGGCAACTTACTCCTATATGATCCGTAGGCAGTGATGACTGCTTAACAAAGTAAAACGGACTCGGAGGCAGTAAAAGCTGTGTCTTGTAAAACCACGTGGATTCCGTGGATCAGTCCGAGGTTCTAACAGCTTTGGCGTCATAGCTGCTCACCCACTTTCCGTGAGCGTCGCGAGTGCATTGAGAGAGTGCTTCCTTGGGCACCATCAGAATCTCTGTGCTAAGGCTGAGCATGGGAGCCTGAAAGAACAGCTACTGCGGAGGACTCCCTAGTTTAATTCCCGGGCCAGGATCTCGGCTGTCCTCAGCATGAACTGTGCTGTGGACATTGATGTAGAAGCTGTCAGCCTAAAAGAAGTGCTTTGTTTTTAAGATAATTTTAGGGGTAAATATTAGGCACAGCAATTAACGTCTCCACTCAGGACACCCACATCCCATGTACCTGTTGCTGAATTCAAGTCCCAGCTCTACTTTTGATCCAGCTTCCTACTGTGGTGCTCTCAGCAGGTGATGGCTCAACCGCTTATGTCCCTGCTACCCGTGCGGCAGAGCCAGGCCAAGTAGCTGGCTCCTGGCTTCGGCCTGACACAGCCTGGGAATCTGTGGACGGAGGATCTCTCTGCCTCCTGCTCTTTCAGCCTTGTCTACTCCCGCTTTCTGCACCTGTTCCCTTGTCTCCCTTTCAAGTTAAAGAAGTTAAAAAAAAACTGAACTTTTCTAAAACTTTTAGGATGGAGACATGGGTTATAAGGAAGAAAATGACAGAAACTAAAGAAATGGGTCAAATAATAAGTAAATGCATAAAAATAAAGCTTAGCGATATTGAGCTGTAGAACTAGGGAAGCATTGTCAGATGTATAGTGTAAAATGTAGATTTGACCAAGCAGAGGCCGTGCTGGGAACCAGTTTCCTTCTGTCTCCCCACGGGAGCTTTACAGGCCCATTTGAAACATCCATGCTCTCCCTCTCCTCCCTACCTAGAGAGTGACCGCTAAATGAGAAATCTGGCATTTCTCATTTTCTTGAACTATGCCACTTCATTATTGTGTTAGAGAAGTGTCTAAGGGCCAGGTTCAAGATTCTAACAGTTGTCTCAGCAGCAGTTGCTCAACTCCAGCAGAGGAGCTTGCATAAGCCCAGCTCAAGTCATAGAACCCTAAAATGGGTGCAGCACAGTGTGTGTGTAAGGTTCAGCTTCGAGCAAGGCTGCAGCATTAGCTTGTCACCACGTGATAATGCATTCCTGCAGTCTGGTGAGAACATGTGTAAATTGCTGCTTTATTGCTCTTTACATTTTATCTTCTTCTTCTAGCTGACCTTGTAATTTAAACTGTTCATGCTCCACTGAGTGTTCCTGAGAAACTGGAGTTGGTTATGAGTCCTAGTTAGAGCACATCAGCCGGAGCCACCCTGTTGTGCAGGGCTTGTCTCTTTAAAAATGCAATTTCTATTAGAGTGGAGACATACGTTATCCTTACGTGCCTTAAGAGGAGGGCAAGACATACCCCCCCCAAAAAAAAACCCATGTACCAGGTCCCCCTCTACCAAGTTCAGTTGGAGAAGCAAGCTACACTAACACAAAATGTAATGCGGCAAAATCCCCAACTCCTTACAGAAGTTAACAAGAGGATGCTGTAGACAAGAGGTGATGGTTGACAAGAGCCAAGAGTTCTCTGGGAAGAAGTGAGATTTCAAGTTGGGCCTGGTTGGGAGAACATAGAAGAGAAAGCATCCCCAGATCAACTCGGGAAGACCCTTCTGCGAGGCAAGCATCTCCCAAGGCAGCTGTCTGTCCTGCCCTCCCGCTCTCCCTCGCTCCTTCCTTCCCAAACATTGTTGATAAAGTTCCTTATACCTACTGTCACTCCTGTGTCCCTTTGCAGCCTTTAGAATGATTTCTCAGTCCTTCTCAGGCTCATACAAGTTTGATATCTGCATCTAGTACTCCACAGCACTGCTCTTGGCCAGATCACTCATGTCCCCGTGTTGCTTGGTTCACAGGACACACTAGTCTGTCCCTATTGTGTCATTTGTCCACTCATGTCCTTTGGTCTCTTTGACCTGAACACTTGGGCTTTGTGATCTCTCTGGCTGCTTTATTCTAGTCTCCCTCAAAGGCACCTGTTGTTCACAAATACTGATGTCCCTTAGAGTTCAAACGCTGGCTTCTTTTCTTTTTGTCCTTGTTTCCTAGGCAGTCTCATTACTGTCTTTCTGTTAGAGACTTCCAAACTTGTGTCTCCAGCCCAGCTGTCCTCCCTGAGTCTCAGACTCCTATGCCCAGCTTCCATTACACTGGGATGTCTTTTTGGCACCTCAAACCCCAAAATCTATACCTGCTTGTCCTCCAGTCTCCTAGAAATGGCATCACCATTACCCTGCTTCCTTATCTGTGGAGTCATCCTTCTTTCTTCTCTTATGCCCAACACCCAATCAGTCTCAGAATCCTCTGAACATCTCTCAGTTCATTCCTTCCACCCTTGCTGCCATTATTCCAGTTGTTGTGCCCAGTGCGTTCATCAGCATCTTCCTGGCTGCTCATCCATCCTGCTGAGAGTTATTTCCACCAAGCACATCTGTCTGATGCATTCACGCATTGTTTCACAACCAGTCAGCATTGGCCCTGTCCTAAGAGTGGCATACTAGACTCCCATGAACTAGACCACACCCTTGCCCCACTCCTCCAGCCCTGCCACTGCTATTCTCCAGTGCCCAGTGACCTCTGTGCCCCTGTACCTCCACTCATTTCAGCCGCACAGAGGATCCGCCCACTCCCTACCAGTTCTGGAAATCCTCACTCGTTACTCACACCTCACTCAGAGCTCACATCTGGCAGGAACAGTCTCCTCCCTGGCCCCTACAGGCCACACATGCAGTAACCTAGACTTCCTCTTGGCACATTGCTTGCCAGACTGTTCTGTTGCCTGTGGATTAATCCAACTTCTCAGACTGTAAACCCCTTGTGCCTGTGAGGGAATGGCAATGCTGAGATTAGAAGGAGAGATGCTAAACTTTAGTCCAGCTTGATAGGGAGCTCTGTAAGTAGACT